AGGCTGTGGGGTGCGGGAAGGTGCCCAGAGGAGGTGCCCCAAGTGCCACGGGTCGGGCATGGAGGTTCGGATCCACCAGCTTGGGCCCAGCATGATCCAGCAGATCCAGACCGTGTGTTCCCAGTGCCAGGGCCAGGGCGAGTGGATTCGGCCCCGCGACTGCTGCCTCACCTGCAACGGCCGCAAGGTCGTGAGGGAGAAGAAGATCCTCAGTGTCCACCTGGATAAAGGTGAGATGAGGCTGTGCAGGGTGTGGGGTCACCCTAGAGTCATCAGGGTTGGAGATCTCTAATCTGTCACTGCTGTAACCCCTAAACCCTCACCCATATTTTCCAGCAGCAGGTCCAAATGCCTCTTAAACACCTCCAGGGATGGTGACTCCACCACCACCTTCCTGGGTAATATCCCAAGCCCTGATCACCCAAAGAGGGAAGAATTTTTCCTCACATCTCTGGCTCTGCCCTGGCTCAGCCCAAGGCCATTCCCTCTAGTCCTGTCCCTGCAGCCAGGGCAGGAGAGACATCCCACACCTCTCCCCAACCCTCTCAGGGAGCTGTAGAGAGCCACGAGGTCACCTCAGAGCTTCTTCTCAAGGCTGAACAAACCCAACGCCCTCAGCTCTTCCTCATATGCCTTTGATGAGCCTTGTTGGACATGTGTCCTGCACCTTTCATGAGCCTCATTGGACACATGTCCTAGACTTTCTGCCCTCGTTGCCCTTGGCTGGATTTGCTCTAGTACCTTAACATCCTACAGTGAGGGGCCCAAAACTGGACACAGCACTGAGGTGTGACCTCACCAGTGCCAAGCCCAGGGGGGATGAGCACTGCCCTAGTCCTGTGGCCACACTGTTTATGATCCAGGCCAAGATGTCCTTGGCCTCCTTGGCCACCTGTGCACAGTGTTGGCTCCTGTTGAGCCACTCTCCCCCTGAGCTGTCCCTGTGCTCCCCCAGGCATGAAGGACGGGCAGAAGATCACCTTCCACGAGGAAGGGGACCAGGTGCCTGGCCTGGAGCCTGGAGACATCATCATCGTCCTGGATCAGAAGGAACATCCCGTTTTCCGGCGCAGCGGTGACGACCTGATCGTGCGCAGGGAGATCAGCCTGGCAGACGCCCTGTGTGGCTGCAGACAGGTGATTCGTACCCTGGACAACAGAACCCTGCTCATCTCCTCCCCCCCAGGTGAGCTGCAGGCTTGGGGGGACACCTGGGAGGAGCTGGGGGACGTGGGAGCTGCCAGCACAGCTGCTGAGCCTCATCCTGTCACCTCCCCAGGTGATGTGATCCGGCCTGGAGACCTGAAGTGCATCCCCAACGAGGGGATGCCAGTCTACAGGAGCCCCTTCCAGAAGGGAAAGCTCATCCTGCAGTTCGAGGTGAGATGGAGCCGGGTGGGATTTGACGTGTCCCATTCTCTGGGTTTTGGTGTCACTTCACATCCTCTGTGTGGCCTCAGGTGAAGTTCCCCGAGCCGGGTTGGCTCCCCACCGAGCGCCTGCGCCAGCTCCAGGCCTTCTTCCCAGCCCAGGAGGAGGTGATGGCCACAGAGGACACGGAGGAGGTGGAGCTCAGCGATTACTCACCGCACTCGGGGCAGGGCCGGCGGCACTACCCGGGCGAGGCTTACCACGAGGATGACTTTGAGGATGGGATGCGCCAGCACGTCCAGTGCCAGACCTCATAGCGGGGGGAGCTGCACCCCCCGGGCACAGCCGGGGCAGGGCAGGGGCCTGGCAGAGCCATCACCTTCAGGGATGTACATAGGTCGCACTTCACCTCCCCCAGCCACGACCCAGAGCTGGGCAGGAGCTGCCCAGCCCTGCCAGGGGCAGCAACACTGCCCTGCCCTCCTGCAGCCCCCCGGGGGGGGCTTGGGGCTGGATCCAGCTGCTGGTGGCTCTGGGGACTTGGGGCTGGATCCAGCTGTTGGTGGCCCCTTGGATGGAGAGCTTGGGGCTGGATCCAGCTGCTGGTGGCCCTGTGGGTTGGAGGCTTGGGGCAGGATCCAGCTGCTGGTCGCTCTGGGGGCTTGGGGCTGGGGCCCGCG